TACGCATGCGCGAACGCGGTGTCACAGGTAACTGAGGAGAGCGGCGAGCCGGCTCTCGCTGCGCGCCAGCGCGGTGGGAGGAGTCTAGGCGGGGCGGGATTTATAGGCACGTGCCCTCGTGCTCTTGTTGCCACTGAGTGCGCTGGATTTTTTTGAAGGGGAAGGCGCGCGTCCCTGTCCCAGTCTGTTCGTAACTGCCGTTCGTCGCTCGTGGCCTTCAGCTCTGCCCAGGTACACCCTGCCCATGGCACAGTTGCCTACAGCAGCCCTGTCACAGCCCCATCTGAAACCTTGGCAAAGGCCCCCAGGTTGTCGGAGAGACTTCACCGAAACTTTGGGAGACTTTGGCCAAATTCCCTCAGAAATGCCACAAAGAAACCCACTAGGAATCGTGGCAGGTGACCCCTGAAATTCTCTCGGAATCTTCCAGAAATTTTGGCACACTTCTCAGAGCCCGTTACTTTCCCTGACATGCTTAGAGACCCCCTCCCCCAAACCTGTCAAGAGACCTGAAAATCTGTGGGAGACTCAGAAATCCAAGCCCACCCCCATCCTGCCTCCCCGAAGCTCCACCGGGGACCTGCGCTTGCTAGGCTCTAAGTCATCTCCCCAGCCCGGCAGGGTGTCAAAGGCCTGTAATCCCAGCACTTCAGGGGGCTGAGGCAGTAGGGTCACCATAAGTTTGAGGCTAGAAAGACCCTGTCTCAAAAAAAACAAAAAGTCCCCTTAGACTCTTCGAGTGACAAGATCCTCCTTGGTCCCTTAGGACATTGTCCCCTGACCGCGGGTTTGTCAGGACCCTCAAGGGACACCCACCTGGAGCCTTGGCCATCATCCCCTGTGCCCATCCAGGGCTCCTCGACAGTTCTGTCTCCAAAGACCCCTTTTACAGGACCCACTAAAGGCCACTGAGAAGCTGCAGCTGGCAGGTTGTGTCTGTCAGCAGAGAGCAAGGTGTTGGGGTACTTGGTGAGGAAAGGGAGAGGACAGACACGCCTGGCCACACTCCTTGACCTTTTCCTGGATGCCCCTCAGCCCCAGGGGTGCTGTGGGCTGGTGTAACTGCTACAAACACCCCTTTCTTTGTGAAAAAGTGCCCTGGAATTGGGAGACTAAGTGGAATGGTCAACCTGGTTACAATGGAGGCAGGCAGGACATGGTCAGGGCACAGGGAAGGGAGTCCCTCACTCTCCGGGGACTCCAGAAAGCCCCCCCAGGGGACTGAGAGCCTGGAGTAAGGCCACCGACAAGCAGAGGTGTGGGGTGGGACTTGGCCTGGGGGTACTCATGTGCCACGCTGAGCTGAGCCCCAAGAGCAGCAAGTTTAGGGGATGATGCTAAGTTCCCGTCGGCCACAGAGTGAGGGACTAAGGGATTGTTAGGGAGAGAGAAAAGTGACAAAAAAGTGGCCAAAGACTCCAGGGACCCCTGTGTGTGTCACTCCAGCTTGAGTATCTAGGGGTACTAGGGAGCCACAGGAGGACCGAGAACAAGGGACAGACAGGGTCAGACTGGCACAAGAGGCCAGTGGTCTCAAGATAAAATAGCAAGAATGCCACCTGCTGAGCTAGGCATGGTGGCGCATGCCTCCAACCCCAGCACTCAACCGGATTCCCTCTGGTTCAAGGCCAGCCTGGGGTACATAGTGAGATCCTGTCTCAAAAGACAAACAACCACAAAAGAGTGTCAGCTTCCAGGACCATGTGGAAGCCCAGACACACCTTGTTTGTCATGGGTGCTAGTGAGAAACATTTTTCAAAGAACAGAGACAGGAAGGCAAGACAGGTGTGCCAGCCAGAGACCGGAGATGGGGACCTTCGGGCCAGTTTGAGGAACAGGGTACACTCAGAGCTGCTGGAGAATTCAGTGTGGTCATGATGGGCCTGTGTTGCCAGAGCCGATCAGACTCTGTCCTTGGTGCTGGGGAACCAGGGAAGGGGAGGACTTGTCAGCTCTGGAGCCCCAAGGGAATGGCGTAGAGAGGGGAGAGGCCGGGCATGAGGGCCCTGGGGCAGGGGTGTGGGAAAGAAGGGTTTGGTGTAGTCAGGCAGGAGGGAGGGAGCTGGGCGTGTTACAAGCCCGGGGAGTAAGGAACATCACCTCGATTCCCCCTCCCACTGCCCCCGTTTGATCTCCACCGCCCACTCCGGAGGTCCTGTTTTGCCAACCATAAAACAGGCCGGAGCGGGAGCCGTCCAGTGTGGGCAGGACTGGCAAACAGGTTCTGAGAACCCAGAGGCCCCAGGCACAGAAGGGATGGTGGGTCCCCACCCAATGGTGGCTGGACTGAGGAAGCCATGCCTTGTGCCTTGTTTGTCCTTCCAGGCTCTCTCTGAGGGGTCGGTCCCTTTCCCGCCTCTCCTAGTGTGGGGAGAAGCTGCTGGCCAGGGGGGCCCATGGACCTGCCAGAGAGCCTGGCTGGTGGCCCTGCTGCAGAAAGTAAGTAGCTGGGCTCGGAGGAGGAGGGAACTGAGGCGCCTGGGCATCAGGCTGGCACTCGGGGACCCGGGAGAGGTGGCGTGGGTGTCCGGAGTGGGCAGGGGGAGTTGTGCTGGACTGGGTACCTATTCTGTGCCACCCCATCTCTGCACCTGCCGGGGGCAGCCTTCCCCTCACCCGCACACCATCCCCTCCTTTTAGGGCGCTGCCCGCCGGCACCTCTTACTGTAGTGCAGCAGCAGCCCTGCCACGCTGTCTCCCTTCCCTGTGTCACTTCTCTTTTTTTTTTGTTTTTGTTTTTTTGTCTTTTGGAGACAGGGTCTGACTATGTAGTTAAGACTGACCTGGAACTCACTATGTAGCCCAGGCTGGTCTTGAACTCAACAGCGATCCTCCTGCCTCAGTCTCCCGAGTGTTGGGATTGCAGGTGTGTGCCACCACACCCAGCCTTGTGTCACTTCTCTTCACAGCACTGACATCTGCTGTGGTCTGATTAGTATCTGTCTTCCTGATAACATGAGCTGCACAGGCCGAGGCAGTTTTCTTCCCAGTCCCTAGGGACTGCTGTCCCATAGGAGGGTCAACGAGTCACACATGTAATTCTTTTTTTTTTTTTTTTTTTTT